TAACAAACCACTAGTGGGCGGTAAGGTCTCATGCGTACAGCCTTTGCTTAAAAAGGTTCTAACACTATGGGGCAGGTTTCCTGCCTCTATGGGGCAGGTTTCCTGCCCCATAGAGGCAGATGCTATTCTTGATTTGAACAAGACAATGGAATGTTTTTAAAATGTTGAACAGTGAAACCTGTTTTCATATCACGCTGGTTAGTTAGAAAACTTTTTTTTCTCTTTACATGCACAGTAGATAACGTCAAATCTTGCCAAAAACAGCAATTATGTGCATATAACTTTAGAGAGAAACCCTGGAGGAAACTAAGTTATATAGTAATGGCAGAGAGACCTTTTACCTCAAAAGAAGAATAGAAAAAAAAGCTTGTGGAAAGAGGAAAACTTCTAGTAAACAATTATAAGAAGGGTATGATTATTGTTTGAGTTGCTATTTTACTATTTGTTTGTAGTTTGTTCTTTGAAGTTAAGAATGTTTAAAAGAGAAGATACTATATTCCTCCTTCTTTAGGTCATAGTGTTTGCATTTGTTGTCACATACAAAATTTGGGAAACTCAGACCTTCTCTCTACAATATGTTGACCGTTTTAGGGTGAAGCCTGATACTTGTGAGGACTATAATGTCCATGATACTTGGTAGGCTCTGTAACAGTCGCAATTGTGTAGTGTCTCTTTAAGATACTCTGGTTTTGCTACGCGCCACTGCTTCTCTGGCGGGAGACGTGAAACAGTGAGATACATGCATTCAGACATGTTAATTCCCTATTTTTCTTTGTAATGTCACGTGTTGTTTGGACTCTGCTCATTCTTCATGTTTAAGAATATAGCAGCTGTTCAACTGGGCTTTGTAAGGTTGGTGAAGAGTGCGTTTATTTAAAGACAACACTGTGGAGTTCCCAGTACCAGTGTCGTTGTGAGTTTTTGACCGTCCTCTCTTCCCTTAAACGCAACCCTAAGCGTTACAGCTCTCAAATTCTAAGGAGGAATCAAACAAAAGTTTAATAATATAAATGCACAGCACAGACCAAAAGTTTGGACACACCTTCTCATTCAAAGAGTTTCTTTATTTTCATGACTATGAAAATTGTAGATTCACACTAAAGGCATCAAAACTATGAATTAACACATGTGGAAGTATATACTTAACAAAAAAGTGTGAAACAACTGAAAATATGTCTTATATTCTAGGTTCTTCAAAGTAGATTACTGCTTCAAGAGGTATTAAACCCTGTCAGGTTTAATAATTGGGATTTCTTGCCTTATGGGGTAGGGACCGTTAGTTGTGTTGTGCAGAAGTCAGTAGAATACACAGCTGATAGTCCTGCCGAATAGACTGTTAGAATTTGTATTGTGACAAGAAAAAAGCAGCGATGTAAAGAAAAACGAGTGGCCATCAATACTTGAACAAATGAAAGTCAGTCAGTCAGAAAAAATGGCAAAACTTTGAAAGTGTCTCCAAGTGCAGTCACAAAAACCATCAAGCACTACAAAGAAACTGGCTCACACTAGCCGCTCAACTAAACCCCCCCACACCCAACCCCCCTAGATGCTAGCGCAGGTAACCCCTCCGCCAAACAGTCCACCCTGCACAGTCATATCCACTTATAAGTGGATATGACTGGCTCATATTTACTCATATAAATGTGAGTCAAGCTGACTCTTAAAAGCTAGTAGCTACGATGGTAACCATCAAGCAAGGGATCACAAAATGTTGGACTGTGCCAAAACTATGGTCATAAAAATTCCTTCATGTCAGAGTACATCTCAGATTAAATAATACTACTTCAGCGATAGTATCTAGGTGTTACTTTATTGTATGTCTCGTCGTACCATGTCATGACACACAGCAAGACATAGTTTAGCTGTGAATATGGCAGTTTTAACATTAGAAACACAGGCAGGGAGTACTACCAAAGAGAAGACAATCCAAAAACTTACTTTTTGGCAGACCAACAGATGGAACTGCCTTCTATGGTTGTAACACTTTTGCTACTCAAGGTCACTCCACACTAGCATGGCAGCATCCATCCATCCATCATTGCTGTTTAATCTCTGGGGCAAAAGGCAGATACCTGACCTTAATGCAAAAGCAGCATTGAATGTTTATTTATAAAAATCAAGTTCGAGAAACGACCAGGTTGCTGCTCATTTGCACCACCATGTTGGTTGGCCTCATCAGAGATGACAAAGACCAGGACTACAAAGAGGAAGTGGAGCAGCTGTAGGGCTGGTGAAGAGATAACAGCCTGATCTTGAATGTGATGAAGATGAAGGAGATCATCTTGGACTTCAGGAAGATCTGGCCTAACCACACTCCACAGCTCAGAGCATTCTGATCAGCTGTCTCACTGTGTGGTGTGGAGGCTGCAGCATCTCAGACTGGGAGAATGAGAGAAGAGTGGTGGAACCGCAGAGAGGATCATTGGGGCTCTTCTTGCCTCTATAAAAGACATTTCATCCTAGCACTGCATGTCCCGAGCCCGTAACATAATCAATGACCCCTCACACCACAACCACAGACTGTTCTCCCTGCTGCCCTCTGGGAAGAAGCCTCGCAGCATCCGTTGCAGGTTCTGTAACATCTTTTTACCCACTGCCATCAGACTGTTGAATTGCTGAAAAACTCTAAATCAAGTCACAAATCAAGACTCTGCAACATACTGATAATATAATAGTTTTAGTACATGGTGAATCTTCAAAAGAGAGCTCAACTCAAATGTTTCTTTCTGCATTTTGCACCATATATATTTATTTATTTTTGCACTGCTCTGAACCTGTCACATCAATGCCTTTTTGCACCATTTCCCTCCCAAACATGTTGATCCCTGCTGCACTTAATTGTTCTTTTTCACTGCTAAGCTGCTGCTAAAAAAAAACACTGTCGGAAAGCTGTATAAATGAAATTTTGTTTTGTATACACTCTGTGTATATAAAAAAAAAAGACAATAAATTTTGCCTAGTCTAAATCTAAAATATTTTGGTGCTCCCAATAGCCAGTCTGCCCTTGTTATTATACTACTATAGAGTTTAACCTGTCGAGTGATTAACTTTTTTAAACATCTGCATCACAAAGTAATGGCTATTGATAAAAAAAAAAGGTATACATACATCTAAAGTCTACATTGTGTCTATAATGAATCCATTATAGACCTGTCCAGCTGACGGGTCTATGCCTGCACAAAGTGCCGTTTTCCACTTCACCAACTGTCCCCCAAAATTTCAAGTTTAGGAATTTTAGTTACAGCAAAATTGTTGACAAAAAATAAATAAATAAATAAAAAATCAATGGCAGTCTGAAATGATCCAAACGAATATTAAACATATAATGAATCCAAATAATCTAGTTAAAATGACTAGAAATGTAAAGTTAAAAACTGGTTTATTCATATAGAATTCTAGAATCTTTTGTTGCTACTAAGTTTGACAGGGTGTGCTGAACTGCAAAGGTCTGCCTATTATTCAAAATTTGAGTCATCATGCAGGCATGCACCCTATGATCATGGGAAATGTCTGCTTGGTAAATAAGTCATTACAATCATGACCTGATACAACAGATTATTGGTGATAGACAGGCTTGGCTTTCTATAGAAGTTTACAAGGGTGATTTATATATATAAAAAAATAAATACTAGAATTTAGTTTAACTGAACTTTAGCACAAAGTTGTGGTTAGTGAAAATGCTGTGTGGGTAGTGACTTTGGAAAACCACTAGCCACAATTACCAGTGAGCAAAATGTTAATAATAAGCCCTGGTAATATTCTAAAACTGTCCTAAAAATGAATGTGGAAGCCATTCCAACTTTTCCTGCCTACTGTGCATTGTTGGTAAGTTCTACAAACTCATTCTCATAACAGAATGAATTCAGTCTTATTCCACTCTGTCAACCTAGTTCATATGGTACATTTACTAATTCTCTATCTCTCTCTAATTAGTCTTGTCTTTCATTGAAGTATTCTTATAAATATTCATCTTCATTATTATTACATCTAATTTATCTTCAGACATTCAACTACAGTAGAAGTGTCAACTTAACTATCGTCTTTAATAAAGGGGAGCATTTTACATTGGTGATGAAGGGGTGTGCAAAGTATTGATAAATAAAGTAAAGATCACTGTTAAAATGTGGTACTTAAATTTTGCAGTTTATGCCTTTGAAAACCAGGACTTAGTTGTAAGATAATAGTTTTTCTGTTAGTGTTCTAGTCAAGACCACACCAAATAAGACTAAGCAGTACTGATACAGAGACAAGGCCAAGACCTGTGAAGGCCGAGACCAAAACACGACCAAGATATTTAGAGGCCAAGAGCAAGACCATGGTTTTATATTATGTGACTCTTTTTGAAACAAGAGAGGTATCCTGCCAAAACAGGTTTGACAATGGCCAAAAGAAAGTCATAAGGTAAAAGATTAAACACTGTCATCGTTATTTTCTTTAAGGCATTGCATAGTTCATAAGAATGTTTTTAAATTTACTACAGGAATGAAATTGTTTTATTACTTAATAGGGAACTTGATAGTGTTTTTTTTTTTTTTGCCGAATTAGCAAGTTGTAGCTTTTTTTTATTCGTGAGAGTTTCAAAAACTTTTCTGCCATTTCTAACTTCAACATTCTTGCTATTCTCAAAATATACCTGTTCACGTTTAACTAGGCAGCAATGACAAATACAGGTTGATATAGTAAACATAGCGTGAGTTACTCCTGGGTGTGCCTGTAATCTGCTTGTGTATGATGTCACGTTAACTTTTTGTAGTTTAAGAGAGCAAATCCTTTATATATTTATGATTTAATGTGGTTTTCTTCAAAACAATAAAATTAATCCCATTCATTTTTCTATTTGAAATAGCAACTGATAGCCCTTGTCTCCATTTTTTTTCCTGGAGATTTCCCAGAACAAAGGAAAAAAAAAAAAAAAGGAGTTACTGATCTCAGCTCTTTCTTTAAGGCAGAGTCCGCCTCCTACCTGGTAGGAATGCAAAATGTAGTCAGACTGGAAAAATGACTTAGCCTCTTTCTTCTTCATGTGGCAGTTATGAAACACATTAAGTTACTTTTATTTTACCCGTCAACTCTCCAGCACAGCTTTGGAAGTTGGTAAACACGGTCAACAATGGAGTGCAATTGCAACTTGACTCCTGAGGAGAGAGAGGGTCAGAGGATATCCAAGGAAATAGAAAAACAACTCAAAAAGGACAAAGAGAAACAGAAACGGGATTTGAAACTGCTGCTTTTAGGTGAGATCTTATGAGTAATATTTTTGGGGTATTTGTTATTTTTCTGTGACCATGTGGGGGCTATAGAAGTGGGGCTTGGTATCTAGCAGGTCGGGTAATGGGGCAGACTTTGACTCAACTTCCTATCTGTAGGTATTCATGGATATCCAGGACTGGAACTTTTACAGCATGCTTTCAAATTCTGTCAGTTGGAAGATGGATTTAAAATGGGTCAGAAGTGTGTGTAGAACATGTCCAACAGACCTTTGACAAGACTACAATTCTGGTAATTTAGATAATATGATAACACCTTTGGTTTGTTGTTGAGCATGTCAACAATTCCTTTATCAGTTTTGCTTAATGCAAGGGTTAATTATGTCGCAAACAAGGATCACATCAATAAAGTGACTACTGCTTACGTGAAATAGTGTACATAGTATAGAGCAATGTTAAGTTGATGGTATGTGTCAAAGTTCCACCTACTTTATGTCCACATGGTGGGCATGACCTGTTGTATCCCAGCAAGACATTCCCCAAACTTTCAGCTTGCCTAACAGTTCATTCTCGTTGCATTTGTCCTGTAGGTAATGGAGTGTGCTCACACAGATCCGATCCCTCTGCTGAGCTTAAAAAAAAAAACATGGTTCATTAACCCAGGCCAAATTCTTCTTTTTTCTCTGTGGTCCACTTGTGATGCCTATGTACTCATTGTTGTTAGTGTAAGTGATGGACAGTAGTCAGCAAAGAGATGCGTTTAAGACTGCAGCTACAAAGCCTCTTCAGCAGCAATTCAAACTGTTTTAGTGATTCTCTGCATAAATGGACCTGTTCACTCATGGATGAAATTTTGATTTCACAAGTATTTTTAATATCAAATATAGGTTCAGGGTGTTTTCTAATAGACCTTCTGTGTTTATTTCCTCAACTTTCTCTTGCATCTCTGCTGTCCCTCTCCTGGCGAAATAAATGGATTTATGACATGAACTATTGAAAAAGTGCAGTGGACATGTCCCCCATGCCCCCAACCCCCAATCTACACTAACCGAACCTTGCTACACACATATTTAGGTATTTACAGTCTAAATAACTAATTTATCATTCTGCATAATAGAATTACGCCCTTGAAAGTATAGAGGACAATCTGGAGGGTGGATCCTCTAAATAAGTGGTCCTCCTAATTGTCAATCATTCTGCTGATATTTTTACGTAAAGCCATCCTACGTGCTCTTCCTGTTAGCTATCTTTTTCTGTGCATGTTCACTTTCAGGTTTATGTATATCTGTGGTGAGCTACGGTTTCAGACAGTCATTGAAGCTCACCTTTCTCACGGCGGTTCTTTAAAAAATGTCCGAGGGTTGAAGAGAAGAAGTGTCTATGAAGTGTACTAGAAGAAGAAAAAGGCCTCAGATGGGGCAGATATATCCCTGAATGCTTTGCGCTGATACTGTAGCTCTCCTTGCAAAGCATTATGGGATTTGCTGTCACAGGGGCATGCTGTTACCATAGACTGTCGCTACCTGACAGCGGCGACTAATAACAAAGATAGCACAGGCATTAGGCAGTGGAGTAGGAATTTGCGTAAAAAAGCAGTGATCACCTTTCCTAACAGTAAGTTAACTGACTTTTCTATATAGTCCCTGCTCCAAATAGTGATTGAGGGATTTTAGACTTTCAGGCACAGTAAGCTTGTGTGAGCTATGAGAACAGCAACTTTTAAACAGAGCATGGATGAGGAGAAATGGGCTTGTGCATGATCTCGCACACGTTTAATAGGTTTTCCCTCCCGGGAGCGGATACAGGGTTGTATATGTGCATTTTTGTTTTATTGGAGAGGGCGGGTCTTTTGAAAAATTCGCGAAAATCCTTCACAATACCTTTAATTTGGCCACGGGCCTTACAGGTGCGTAAAGCATGAACCTGTATGTCATTTTTAGCTTCACGCCCCTCCACGCCGACTCCGTGCAGACAGAATTTCAAAGGGTTCACAAACATCAAGATACTGTAAATTACGTGATTTAGCTCATAAATATCACCATTATCAACAGATTGTGGGCAAAATCCAGGAAAGAAATGACTGTAGCTCTTGAACAGCATGAAAAAGCTTTGATAAAGCAATAAACTGCAGCACAGAGCAGTGTATAAATACTGCTTAGGATGGCTCATTTCCCGTGCGGAATGTCTGTGTTTTAAGCATAATGAACCCTTTAGCCAGCTCCACCCGTTCACAAGAGGCATCTACTAGCTTTTAAACCTCCCTCCTCCCAAAAAATAAAAATAAAAAATATAATTTCTATTTATATACAGATTAGTTATTCTTGCTTACTTTGCTGTGTCCTGACTCCTGCAGGTCAATAAAATTAGTAAAGTGATTATTATTAGTGTATTGTTATCAGTATCGGGCAGTGACAATATTCTGACGTTGATTATCTCAGCTGTTGTTTTAATGGTTGCACAAGCATCCATGTATAAAGTGAGAAACAGGTGATTCTTTTGAAGGATATCCATTCAAAAATGGTCGAAGAAGGACCACTTAGCTCTATAAATCAATGTAGAATTCTTCTTTGTAAAATAATCTCCAGAGGTTCTAGAGGAGCTCCTAGAACAGAGCGAGCGTTCTTGTTAAGCTTTTTACAGCATTTTCATAGGATTGTCTATTCGAACTCTGACCACATTGTATTGGATTTATCAACTGTTATTTCTACAAACAAATCAAAAAGTATAAATGAAAAGATTATTTAGGGAACATTTTAGGGAGGCTTTAATACCACTAAAATTCTCAAGTACCCAGAATGTAGGAACTAATATTCAAGGCGAAAACTGAGAAATTTCAAAACGTTTAATAAAATAAACAAAACAAAAAACAGAGAATGGAACGCGGACCTGCAGAGGCTGCAGGGGGAGTTGGGGCACAACCTATCACTGGCACTTTGGTTCAGGGAGAAAAACAGGTAAGGGACCACGACAGTCTTATGGAAGATGATCATCCATGTGAGTCACTTACCTGGTTTATCTTTAGTCAAGGCAGGATCCAGCTGATAGACTCCCAAATGAGATACAGAACAGAGCTGCCCAGAGCGTCCCTGATCCAGCAGCCTCAGTGAGCAGGCAGTAGTCCAAACCAGATTAGGCAAACAGCTCAGAACAGGGTGGATCTGGGATCCAAGAGTCTGCATCCTGGTCAGGGGCTCCGATCCGAATGGGAACAGACAGATCCAGGGTTCCAGGAATCCACAGAGCGTGAAAGCAGGTCCAGAGTTCCATGAGTCCAGCAGCGAGCTCAGGCAGACATGCTCAGACAGAAACAGGCAGGTACTCGAGTAGAGAGGCAGAGACAAGACATGGTACCAGGAGGAACTTTTAACTGGCCTCCTCCCTGAGCCAAAGCCCCCCACCACCACGAGCGGGCTCACGGGCAAGAGCCAGGACACTAATGCCCCTCTCTACTGGCCCCCAGAGCAAGGACATGAACAATGGAGAAACTCAAACTATTGAACAAAAATACATCATCAGTGAGCTGGCCCCCATAGCTGGGCTAAGCCAGAGCAGCAGATTCAGATGAATAGGATGAGTAATGATTAGATAACAGGCAGAGTTAGGCAGGTGAGTGAAATGAACAATTAGGGTAGCTATCAGGGAAGATCATGACAAAAACAGACCTAGTGAAATCACTGGCTTACACTTTATTTCTCTGCTTAACAAAATGTTCACTTGTTGGCCCAAAAAGCATGTCTTTCTCCTTAAAAATACACCCAAGTGTTAGCTTAGTTTGAGATATATCAAAAGACGCTTTAGGTAAAAATACAATGCTTGTGCATGTTGCATGTGTCTGTTTTGCCCAGCGTATTGACACTGGAAATAGGCACCGGCCCCAATTTGACTCTGACAGATAAGCAGAAGAGTGAGGGAGGGCGGCTGGCTGGCTGGCTGGCTGGCTGGCTGGCTGGCTGGCTGGCTGGCTGGCTGGCTGGCTGGCTGGCTGGCTGGATGGATGGATGGATGGAT